TTATTCAGATTGAAATGTCTAGAGTAACTTCAAATTTCTTTTCAAAAAATGTACTTCCAGTCACATGATTTCATTAAGTTAACATTACGAGATCTCTTAATCTGCAAGAGATCAAGACACTGAACTTACATGTATAATAAACCATAAAGATTGGGCACCAGATATAGGATAACTTGCGTCTGATGTCACTTTCAGTCGTCATAGAAAGTGATAAAAGAATTAATGAAAATGATTTTTGTAAATGTTATTAAGACTATAATTGTCTAAAGTAACGTCGAGAATCTTGGTAAGTTACACCTCCGGTCGTTTGTTTTCTTGAAATCATTTTAAATATAATATGCCTTTTTAACATAGATAAAACCTCATTCATGCAGATAAATAGAGGAGAACGGAAGACCTTCTTTGTTGCTATAGCAACAAGAGTTGTCACTTCCGGTCGTCACAGGAAGTGTTTAAGGAATTTTATTTTTTTCAACTTTTCTTTTTTGAAATTTTTTTTGCATCACATTATAGCATCTTACCTGAGCATTGAGAGCATTCTTCCACCGGAATGTTTTACGGCAACTTCCGGTTATAAGAGAGAAACTACATAATTTGAGTATTTTTCTATCCCAAAAATATTTTTTATAGATAAAGTATTTGAAATGATTTTTAGATGTGTTATTCAGACTGCAAATGTCTACAATAACGTCAAATATCTTTTTAAAATTCACTTCCGGTCGCGTGATTTCCTGTCCTCAAAATGAGAACTTATCATAGAGAGATCTCGTAAACGGTAAGAGATGATATGACACCAAACTAAACCTGGTAGATCTTGAACTAGGCAAAACTGTGTGGGTTAACAGTCCGCTGCCACTTCCGGTCGTCACAGGAAGTAGTCAAAGAAATCGAAAATTTCAACTTTTCTTTTATTGAAACCTTTATTGCATTACATTATAGCATCTTATTTGTAGTTTCGAAATGTATCCGTCCCAACGGAACAAAATTACAACTTCCGGTTTAAGGAGAAAAACTACATAAATTGAGTATTTTTCTTTCCTATAAGTAAATTTTAATAGATAAAGTATTTGTAATGATTTTTGGATATGTTATTCAGACTTCACCTACCAGAATGTATAATATCTCAGTAAATTTTGTGGCATGATTTCCTGTCCTCAAAATTAGAAGTTATCATAGCTAGATCTCGTAAACGGTAAGAAATTAAGACACCAAATTAATAGGGATGGTATACTTTATAAGTAGACACATCTTTTGAGTCCGCCGTCAGTTCCGGTTGTCACAGGAAGTGATCAAATAAATCAAAATTTTAAATTTTTCTTAATGGAATCTTTTCTAGTAATACCTTATAGCATCTTACTTGTAATTTCGAGTAATGCAGCTCACTGGTAAACGACGACTTCCAATTATGACAGAAAAAACTGCATAAATTGAGTATCATACTATCCCAGAAATATCTTTTATAAAAAGAGTATTTGAAATGATTTAAGGACATGTTATTCAGACTGCAAAAGTCTAAAGTAACGTAAAATATCTTTTTTAAAATTTACTCGCGGTCACGTGATTTCTTGTCCTCAAAATGAGACATTTGACCCTTACTCAAAAAAATACATTACCTTTATCTAGATTCAGCTTCAAGTGTTAATTTCAAGTTTATCTCTCTTTTTTTGGATGACCTTGACCTTGATAAATGACCCCCTATTGACCCAAAGGTCACAAACAAGTTTAAGGTCGTTGAGGTATTTGCAACTCTTACTCTAACAAATGCTTAAATTCCCTCCCCCCTCCTGTCTTAAAAAAAAATCAACAGCAGCATAGAGAAAATGTTTACAAGTCAAACGACACGATATATCGACATAAGATTCGGAGTAAAAGCAAAAAGAGACCTTAAAGAAAGTGTCCTGAAAGTTTTAAGGTGAGTCTCTAAAATATAATGAAATTCTAGTGAAAATCGGCAAAATCTGCATTTTTTTTCTGTCTGAAATTTAGTTATTGCTGAGCATAAAAATTAATTAAAGCCCGTATTGGCTATTTCTGCAATTTTTGTTAATATCATTCGATTCTCCTGCTCTATTACGACATTTTAATACCAAGTATTCTTGCTTTCTTTAGTGTATGGAATTTATTTCAATTTTATTTAGATTTAATATTAATTGAATGAATCTTGATTTCATTTGAAATTTGATTTTTTTTTTCTAGAATAACACAATCTTATAAGAAATAGCGACTTTCAGCATAGTAAAAAGCAATACACGTTTCTTCCCTGTGTTTCCCATCTAGAATTACATATTTGGAATTTTATTTATGCTACTTTCAATGAATTTAAATCCCACACACATATTCCATACCTATTTCGGTCATGAGTGTTAAAACCCGAACCCGATTCTCTGTTTTCCTTTTCCATAATTACAAATTGCCTTGCATCTCTCGCTCATGCATATGTTTCTCACATGCTCTTAAATAATTTATCGCCATCCATTTCAAAAATAAAACAACTCAAATCGGATATTTTCAAACATCTCTTTAATACATGTATAATGCACATATGATGCAGGTACATATGGGAAATTTCACAACGTTTTCACTTACGCTTCCGTCTTGATGCGCAGATCAAATGCATGTTATTCATATTATTAGGTATATCATAATTTTAATCAGACCCTACCCCTTACATCTTAGCTTGAAACAATCTCATTCCAGCTCATATATACACCTAGGAGCGCGTTACAATGTTTTGAAAGTGCTCTCTTTGCGTAGTCAATGAATTCGTGGTTATCCCCGAGTCGACTCGTATAATCCAGGAAGTCTGTTTAGAGTATATTTATACCAACTACGAGCCCGATCTAAAATCCTTGTAGAGAAATGAGAATTTTGCTGTTTTATTTATTTTTTTTGCTTTTTTTTTCTACTTTCTTCAGCCCAAATGATATTGAAATAATTAAAAAGGTGTAAAGGCCTATAATTGTTCACTGAACAATTAGTCTACTAGTTTATGATATATCTGTTCTTTTTTTAAAATAGAAAAAAACATCCTGCATACAGATTAATAGAGGAGAACGGAAGACCTTCTTTGTTGCTGTAGCAACAAGAGTTTCTAGTTATTATTATTTTTTTCTTCTTCCTGGGAAAATTTTGTCCACGAGTGATCTTGTTAACTACACATCCGACTTAGGTGAAACCTTTTTAGGGTTAGTAGGCATGTTATGTAGAGTTGCCGAACGAAGGTCATTTTGCGCGCACGTGCTTGCAAGAGCGCGCACGTGCAACACGTAAAATGACCAATATAATGGATATTGCCGTAACTTTTCTATTTTTTGATGAATTTTATTTAAACTCATAATGTAAGGATATATTAGTAGTATAGACAAGATAGCATGGTCAAAATAGCAAGATCCCACGTGCATGCACGTGGGCTACTCTTGCTCCATTGGCTTGAACGTAGTCTCAATATCTTTCTTGTTTCTATCATAATCCTTTGAAATTTTGAACATAGTCCTACATTATGAAGATCTACAATATGACATATAAAAATTTACATGAAAAAGCATGCGCATGTGCACGTGCTGCAATCTGATTGGCTGAAACTTTAAATGGCTATATCTCCTTTGTTTTTTGACGAAATTCTTTGAAATTTAAAATATAGTCATGCATTAGGATATCCTACAATATGATTTAGAAAAAATCATGAAATCACGCGCATGCACATGTGCTGCAATCTGATTGGCTGAAACTTGAAATGGCTATAACTCCCCTGTTTTTCAACCAAACAGGATGGGATTTAGATCATACAGACAGTGTAGGTACTTGACAAGAAGGTATGGTTATCATGCACGTGCACATGCATGTGTGTGCATTTGGAACGAGTATAATTAAAAATACACCTGAATGAGTGATTTTTATTACTTTTGGACTGAATGCTTTAATATACAGTATATTAAAGTATATAGATAGTGTAGACAAGATGATATGGTCATAACGCACATGCATTCACATGCGCTTGGGTGCAATGCTTAAATTTGAACATAATTGGCATCCTTCTGGGAAAACGTTGTTAAAGTCAAAAATGCACAAAATTTGTCTTATTTGATGAAGCTTACAGGGAATATGGCACCAAAAGGGAGTTGGGGAGCGTTTGGGGAACATCTTGACGGTTCCCGTTACAATTAGCACTAGTTAGTGTTTTGATCTTCAGACGAAAAAGCATAATATCATTACTTTGTAATATTGTTACATTTGTATATATATACATACGTGTATACGAGCTCACAAAAGGACTTCAGACAATTTTTAATCCATCATTTTGTTTTTCAATTCTTTTTTTTATATGATTGTTCAAACTAATTGGTTAGAGCAATTTTCAAGGTAACCAAATCAGTTCACACGCAAAACAGCATATTATGGTCTTCTTTTTTTATCAAAATAATTTAAGTAAACAGTGCGATTCAAAATGAAATTTATTGCTTAGGACAACAGATGTCTTCTGTTTTTTAAATATGAATTTATGGCACATGGTGAAACACATGCATTTTATCAGATGTATAAAAACTTCTTTTTTTTAAAAAAAAACCCTTATCTTTGATATATAAATTAAATATATTAATCATGTTTTATTAATAATATAGATTAAATCGTTTAGATTAAAAAAAACGCCACAAAGTGATGGAAAATAACTCAAACGCATTTGCATAAATTTCTGAGAGGTTAATAATATATTTATAATAAGCAGTTAATTTTTATTTTAAAAAGCTCATGTATTATATCACTTCAATAATTTGCAATCAATAATGTACAATTTATTATAGTACATAGTATTGGCTTTGAACTTCTACACAAAAATATAACATTCAATATATTCATAGATATTCACTCTAAAAGCGATATGTTTATTGCAGTCATATAAAAACAAATGTTCATCTTTATGGTTAGTCAAAAAATGCTCTCATCTTACAGTCATAATTCATTCCAAACATTTATGAAAATACATTCATGAAATAGGATTTCTGTTTACTTCTTGAGTTTCCTCTCCTCTGGTAGGACGTATCCCTTACACACAAGCGGTCCGCCATCGTGAAGCAGAAGGGCCGGCCACACACAGACTTCCACAGTTTTCCCGCGGCGGCCATGGAGGGAAAACAAGCCCTTGTCGATTTCTTGTCCTCTCTCGGGACTGATGATAACCATAGGCGGATCCTGCATACACATGTACCAACACAGCTCCACACATTTTCTTACATAGGTCAAGGTACGTAGATCTTCTCTTATCCCTTCATCCGTGACAAGATTTGGCAATTCGACTTTGATGAAAAACTACAGTGTAAAAACGATTATTTCAATTCAACCCAAACTTTATTATTAAAGAAGTAAACATTTTAGAGAATTATTTTATTAATTTTTCAATTCTAAAATTAAATCATAAATTTGTTAGACAAGTGTATTAATGTATACGATTCAATGAATTTTACTGTGGACTTAGTCTTGGCTGAAGTTGCTGCTGCAGCCTTTCGGAATTCTCGGGCGTGACGCTCGATCATAGGGAATGCTGGGTCAGCTCTGTACTTCCTGTCTTCTTCCTCTTCTCCAGGTCCTTTCTCTTCCTCCCCGTCAGGTTCATTCCCTCCATCCTCCTCTTCAGGTGCTTTATTGGGAACCTCCTCTTCTTCAGATTGTTCTGGTTTATCCTCCTCTTTCTTTTCCTCTGATGTTTCTTTACCAGCAGATTGCTGTATGTTTGGTTGTTCTGCAGACTTAAGGCAACAGAAAAAAGCATTTATTATTGCAATGTTTCGTTAAATGCTACTTAGAGTTGCAGCAAAGAAAATTATAGCTCTTTACAGTATTGGTTTACATAAATAAAACAAAAGATTCTTGTTTCTTCATTAGTTAACATACATTTTATATATAAATATATAATAAGTAATATTAATAAGTAGGTGCGTACTTCAACAGTTGTTTTACTGACCTCCAGAAGTTCTTTATTTTGATCATCTGAGCTAGCTTTATCATCGGTCTTCTCACTGGTTTGATCTTCACTGTTTACCTTTTCATTCGATTCTTCATTCCTATCCAAATTTGGTTCACCAGGATCAGCTGCTTCTCATCAGAGGTCTGCTCCCCCTCTTGTATTTTATCAGAAGTTTCCTTAGGTTTATCTTCTACGTTAATACTTTTATCTAACTCAGTGTCATTATTAATATTGTTACTAGTGTCTTCCTCCTTTTCAGGGTCAGTTACTGTTGTATCCTGGTTATTGGTGTCATTATCTTCCTCCGATGGTTTGGGTTGTTCACCTGCCCCCTCTTTAGTTAAGTCTTTTTCACTACCTTTTTTATCAGTACCAGTGCTAAGTAAGGGAAATTGACGAGTAAAATATCCAAGTTTGAAAAAGATGTGTCAGACTCTGTGGTATCTTTTATCTCAATCTCTCCAGGATACATCGTATCGCTTAGGAATGAAAATTACCATTGTTAATTGACAATACGTCGTCGATATATCTGAAAGTCGAGTTGAAGGTCACAGCAAGTGTTTTCATCTTTTCACACTTAAGATTTTGCACAAATTCTGTTTCATATGAATACAGGTCTGCTTATAACGGAGCACACCTGGTTCCCCATGGGAATTCCAATAGTTTGTTGGAATACCTGGTCTCCAAAAACCACGTAAATATTGTCAATCGGAAACTTAAGCATCTTCTTGATGTCATCTTCAGAGTACTTGTGTGTGCAATCAGAGTGTGTTTTAACAAAATAATTTTGCAAATGACCAATGACCAGGAAAGTAAGTTTACGAGTTCCAATTTTATTGAAGAAGCAGCTGTCAATGATATAAAAAAAAGTCTGGGTTTTAATTTATCTTTGGGAATCGTTGTGTTGAAAGTTGAAAAGTTCCAGTTTTTTAAGCTGTTGGTTTTGGTAAAATCTTGTGATTTCAAATTGTCCAAAAATTCTTTGGAATTTTTTAGTATCCACATCTGATTCACACCACTTCTTGAATATATAGTTGCACAGTACACAGTTTTTCCTTCACTACTGTCAATATTTTAGTGAGGAGTAACGAAAGAGGATTGGTTGAACATTTACTGGAACCCTAAATGTTTCCTTGCTTGTGAGGATTCTTATGAAGTTTCGAAATCCATAAATCCATAATATATATATATATATATATATATATATATATATATATATATATATATATATATATATATATATATATATATGGTAGTTCAAATTCGTTTTGGCTCTGTGGAATATTAAAAATATTCAAAACTGACCTATGATTTTGTAGATTTTCTTCCTTAGAAAAGGGAAGTAAGAGTATACGTAGGATTACCACTTTAGAATGAAATCCAAGTTCTTCTAGAATACAATTTATATAATGAGCCTTACAAACAAAGACAATTATGTAACCTGCTTTATCAGCAGGGACCAGTACGTACTGGAGATAACGAACAGTATTCAACAGAAAAGGTCCATAAAACAATACAAAATAGGAGCAGAGCAAACACGGACCTCCGGAATTTCAGAGGTGAAATCAGGTGCCATGAAGGAGTGAGCATCCCCTGCAGACAGGTCTCACCCCCGTATACATGCTCTACGTATGAACATTTTGTGAAATGACGTAAATTGTTGACAAACAAGTTGATATAAAAAGAAAATCAGCAGTCTCCTTAAAAGTCATTTTCGTAAGTTCTAATTTATACACTGAATTGACGACGGATTTTTCTTTTATTTTCCGATCACGACGAGGCGGGTGTGACCGGTCAGCAGGGGAGGGGGTGCTCACTCCTCTAAGGCACCTGATCCCGTGATTTTGTTTTGCATTGTTTTAGGGACTTGAATATTGAATACTGTTTGTTATCACCATATCCTTCAATGATTACGTCTAATTCCGTTTTTATCGTCCGCGTGGCGCAGTGTTTCAAGCGTCTTCTGTAGAGTCGAGCAGTAAGCAGTAAATCATTATGCGGGAGTTTGAATCCCACTGTGGGACGTGGAGACCGGTCCTTCGGATGAGACCTATAAACCAAGGTCCTGCAGTAAGTGGTGACACGAAAAAGATTTCTCCCTGCTCAATGGACCAGTGTACCGAGTATACGACAAAATTTGAAGCTCACCACCGGCAAGTGGTGGCGTCTCCATATGGGTGCAAAATAATCGACGTCAAGCAAAATACAATCAACCAATCAATCATCTTTTATTTCAGAACTTTTAAAGAGGATTAGAAAATAAATGATGTACAACTTTTTAGAAATAGAAATATTTACATAAAACACTTGTGTCAATGTATTCGGCAAAGCAGATTAAATTTTGTTTGTTTGATCTTTGTCTAGCAATATTGAAAAAAATTTCTCTGAAATGAAATTGTATGAGAAATGGTTGTTGATGATATTACGTTTATTTAAGTTATATTTTAAACAGAAAAAAAACAATGCATGAGAAAAAAAACAAAATATATAGTTTACTCGTTTAAAATTAGAATGATATTTACATTGGGGTATCCAATTACATCAACCAATTGTTCCTATCTGATTTTATGCATTATAAAAATTAAAGAGTGTATCAGGAAAGATGTCATCGTTTTCCTCGCCGTCTACATCATCCTTTTTAAGTTTAAAGGCTTCAAAAGCCTCGGACCACTTATCAGCAAAATGTTGACTGTACATCTCATCTCCCCCAGTCTGGTGGGGCGTTGGGTGTCAATGAGGTCCGCGATGTTAGGGTTACCCTCAGTCAATTGCTGTTGAACTTACTCAATCTATAAAAAGTTCCTAAAAGCTTTAAATTCATTATGATTGTATTTTTATAGTATATACGACAAAATAAAACTCCATAAAAACGTCTTATTATCATTGAAAAAATTCTCTTGCTTCATTTATATTTTATCTAATGACATTTACCTCGTAGAAAGATTTTCAATTTCTTCTGTCTTTTCCTTCAACTCATTTTGTAGCTTGTAGAAGTTGTGTTTGCTGACGATAACATTTTTGTCAAGATCAGGGCCCTTTGAATAAAAAAAGGGATTTCAGTTCATGACAAAACCAGCAAAGCAAACGGGTGGTTTTTATCTTTTACACTATGTCTACAGCGGTTTTCCCTTTATATTGTATTTTATGTCCTGTTACCACTGCTCGGCGTGCTAGATCTAACTGTTTTTCAGCCAAAATACATCGGCCAAAGTCTCTCCAGGCATCCTCGGGTTTTACTCCATACTTTTTCATATCAATTGTCAGAAGAAAGTGAAACAGGGTTCTTTCTCTGAATTCTTGTGGAACATCATCAGGTTTACTTAAAGTTGAACTGGCCATGTTAAATATGTACTGGAGAAAATGAAAAACATCTTATGATTATCAAAATAAGAAAAGAGAAGGTTTGCATTTTTCTTCAGGAACTATCATTTATTCATAGATATTTTCTTTCTCTTGCTGATATTGACATCAATATTGATTGCCTTTGGAAGCCTTAAAAAGCTGTCTAATCAAAACGTAAAATGGGAGGTTAAAAATGGAACTACATTAACAAATTATTTAAAAACAATTAATCAATCGGTCTAGAAAAAAATCGAAGAAAAGAAATAATGGAAAATTTGTCCGATCGAAATGTGAAACAGAAGATGTAATATAAAAGGATTGACAAAAACAAATACTAAAAGATCACGTTAGGTAACTACGAAATTGATACGAAGAATACGAGGGTTTTTCGAAAAGTTCGTGGAAGATGTCAATCTTCATTATATTACTCTCTAGAAATTTAAAATAAGCACAATATAATATGTAAAACTATTTATTTTGTTGATGTGTGAAGTTTCATTCCATTCGATTCAACAGAAATTAATTTACCTCTTTTAAAATCAACATGTTTAGTACCCATGGGGCACACTTTAACTGCAATGTAGGGTCAAAATATAGTGTCAAGTATTTCTAAAAAAAAATACTATCCCTACACATTCCACATGGTTTAATCCATTGCCCACTCATTAAGGATATCCTCAGCCAAGAAGGATAACTCCAAAAATTACAATTTAATTTAAAAATGCATCAAAATGAAGGTTAAAATTGAGATTTTTTTCATGCAACAATTTTCATTTTATTCAGCTTTATCTGCAATTAGAAAATGCATTGCTGATATTCCAATTCGCTTTTTCTGCAAAAATATTGGAGATTTGACAATTTTCAATATAGAATATGATTAACTTTAATTTTTAAATTTAAAGAAATACTGTGGATATATTTACATAACTTTGTGGATTCAGAGTTACTTTTATGAGTATTTTTGATTACTTTACTGCTAAATTTATAAACCTGAAGATCGGACTACCTTAAATTCTTTCCCTAATACATGACATATATTTTTAAAGATTTGCTTTCGTTGTTTGATTTCCTTCGTTAAGGTTTTAATTTCTTAATTACTTAAACTTGGCTTCCACAGGATACGCAACTCTGAAGCGTCTATGTCTTTCCTTGACGTTCCAACGTTTCAAAGTTTTTGTTTAGAGTTTTACAGTTAAACCGTAGCAAAATTGTTTTCAATACAGAGTCTCTGTCACTCAAATACTGCATGTACTATTTGTACACACATGCATAACTTGTTCGAGACATATTTTTCTGATTCCTCAAACGTTTTTAGAATTTATTAAGGATTTTTCCTGAGTAAAACACAAAATTGCAATAATCTGCTCTGTAGTTTAAAACGTCATCGTTTTTGTCGTTTTCAATAAGGACTACCTATCTTCTCAAGTTGATTTCTTTTCAACAAAGCAAAATATAAAGCTTTAACTTGGTATACGAATCGATGTAACAATTTTTAATATGAATTTTAGGTTGTTTTTTGTTTTAGCTCCATTTTACAGAGATTGTGACTCAGACGTTATATAGTGTATCGTATTTTAAATTTTTACCTGCTCCACGATCCGATTTTTCATTTTCGAAATCTGGATAAGTTTTGAATAAATCATAATATTTAGGAAAAATTTAATACAAATCATTTGGATTTATTATAAAAAAAATTTCTACCAAATTTGGATACATATTACGTCAAATAAAAAAGATATGACGGAAGTCCACGAACTTTTCGAACAACCCTCGTATAAACGGAATACAGTTCACTAAATTCATCTGGTATTTTCTAATTTAATTTTAAAAATTTTCAAGAGACATTTTTTGTCTTCTTGATTTTTCAAACTATTTGCATTCCTTCAAAAAATGCATAGTCATCATTCGTCCTAGACAATTTATAATATTTGATATTTTACTCAGAAAGTCATTTTTCAGGAATAAAATCAAAATGATACTTAATAACGGCATAAATATTCAATCATAATTCTTCTTAATATTTATGCAATTTTTACAATTTTTAAACCTTATAGCATCAAGAAAATTTAATAATTAGTGCAATTACTCAGTTGCTATTCAGGGACAACATCAACAA